CAAACCTCCCTCCAGCAAATTAAAAAAAAATTCAAAAAAGAAAACCACCTTAACAATTTTTAGCTAATGTTGTAGTCTTCTATCCCTATATGACAAAACCGTATTTTTAAATTTACATTTGCTGTATTACTATACATACACACAGTATTATAAGCTCTTAAGTTCACCAGTGTAAATGTGCTGGACTGTCCATTCTAAAAATAAAACCAAAAAGCCAAACAGAAATTCCCTATTTATTAAGAACCAGAAAAGCAGACCAAGTGTACCAAGTAAGCCCAGTAAGCTGAGTTTACTGCTGACATTTTCCTGGCATCAGAAGCACGGAACTGGAAATAATCTTAGCAATTAGTCTATTTTATTTCAAAAAAAAAAAAAGCAAGAAAGAAATTTAAGACCCAGAGTGGTTTAATAATTTGCCAAAAGTCACACCACTAATAACAGTTGAAAAATGTCACAAGGTAATATTTCCCATCTCAATTTACTTCCTTTATTGATCGGCCAGTGAAACTAAGATAAATACATTGAGGCAAAGTTCTGTATCTTTCCATTTAATACTGTAACATTTTGCCCTAAAATATATAAAAGAAATACTGAATTGTGGAATTTTTCTTTGAAAATGCCAATTAAATTTAGCACTTTTCAAACAAGACATATATAGTTTCATTGCATATACGAAAACCACCCCCAAAGAATTTTATTATACTTTAAATATTTTATGAGTTTTATATTACAAAAACACTAAGTGATTATTCTGTAGATAAATTTATGCCAATACAAATATATCAATGTATATAAAGACCACATATAGAAAAAAATGTTAAGAAAAACTCTTAACTGACAATTCTATACAGTCATTAATTTGGACAGTATAAAATTACCACAGGGTAAAACACTATTAAGATAAAGATAGCTTAATCACTGTGTAAATGGAATTTATTGATGCACCATAAAATGAGCTTATTGACAAAACAGTTTAAGGCATTATTTGAAGCTATACAACAATTTGTTTTGAAAAAATTATGCTAAGTACCATTTCTAAAAGTTTAATTAGACTATTAAAAAGTTGCTGCATGTTAATATTTGGAATATTTTTACCACTAACAACAATATATATTATTTCTGATGACTTTCTTTTCAAGAAAGCGATTAAAGATTACAAATATAACTGAGAATATTTTTTGAGACTTCAACCAATGAAGCAATATATTAACGTAATTTTAAACTGTCTAAATTCTCATGTAAAGTGGTTCAAGTTTAAATATAATAATGTATAATACATTTTGTGTGACATTATGTGACTAGTTATAATATATAAATGTGTGCATATGCTGTCAGACATCTCAAAAAAAGTACAAGCTTATTTGTTCCTTTGATGATCAAACAAAAACATCTCACAAAAACTCCAAAATTTCTTTTTCTCATGTGATACTGGTGAATACAAAATTAAACTTCAGCACTAATAGAACTTACTCTATTTTATTTTGTCTTAAATGCTTGTCACAGGTATAATTTATGAGTAAATTTTTATAAAGCAATTCCATTTGGGGCAACAATAAATTATCTAATGATCAACTACATCTACGCAAACTATCAGTTATCTAATTGTATTTCCATCTTCTGGTAACAGGTACAGAAAATGAGCTCATGTGTAGAAAAGTTAAAATAACTAAGAGATGATGCGATTAGTTCAATCAAAAATTTACTGAACGTCCTGACCAAACGTGATGACCTCTTGGTACCTGTTTTGTAAACCATAATGCACAAAATGAGAGAGAGAGGGAAAGAAGAAAAGAGGCAGGCTGGTGGTGGGGTGAGGTGCTGGAGGACTGTGGGAGGGAAAGTGAGGACACTGGTGGTGGGAAATCTACACTGGAGGGATGGGTGTTGGATCACTGTATGACTGAACTGTTTTGTAATGGTGTATATCAAGGATATTCAATTAAAAATATATAAACCAAAACCAAATACATACAGAAAAGGTTTCTATTCACCACATTGATAATAACAAGCAAAAATCAAGAAAAATAAAAGGACCTCACAAACACAGAGAAGATATGTCAACAACATGAGCAATTGGAAAAGAAAAACTGAAATCAGAGATACCACTCCCCATACGTTATAACAGCTGGAGAGAAAAACACCCAATAACTATGTACCAATGAGAATGCATGGTGGGAGGAATGAGGAATTGTCTAGTCATTTAAGGAAAATTTGTCAGGTTTTAATAAAATAAATGTACATTTAGGATATGGTCCATATTCCACTTCTATTTACCCAAGTGAAACAAAGCAAAGACACAAAAACTATCTTTATGTCAGTATATGTCAAACTTTCATTCACAATTGCCTCAAACTGCAAACAATCCAGTAGCCCTTCAACAGGCCAGTGAACAACAAACTGAGGCAATATAATGGACAATTACTTGGCCAAAAGGAAGTTTCAAGACGCTACATATTACAGAATACGATTTATATGAAGCCATGAAAAAGGCTAACTAAAAGCATGTAACACACATCGGTGGTTGCCAGAGTTTGGAGGTAAAAAGAGAATTCTGCACAAGGGAATTCTGGGGAGTAGGGGTGTGTGTGTGCGCGCGCGCGTGTGTGTGTGTGACAGAACTGTTGTTGGTAGATAATGTAACTTGATGAATTTCATGAAAACCACACAACTGTAAAGTACAAAGGAGGAATTCTCTGGATATAAGAAAGAAAAAGCCAAGGAACTCAACTTAAACACCCCAAAGCAGAGTGTCAGGGAGACGGAGGATGGAATGCAAACCGTGACCAAAGACTCCAACTGTGCTGCAGATGAATGTCAGATGCATGGTGTGAAAATGTTATTTTCCCATTCAGCAGAATGTATTTTTGTTTCAGTGATGTTTTTTTGGCTGTGCAGAAGCTTATTCCTTTGATCTAATCCCATTTGTTTATTTTGCTTTTGTATTCCTTGCCAATGGAGTAAGACTCCCAAAGACCCCACTAAGCCAAAGCTACAGAAAGGTCTCCCTACGTTTATCTTCTGTGTATTTTATGGACTGGGGTCTAACATCTCAGTTTTTAATCCATTTTAACTTCTAAAATGTAGAGTAGAATAATTACTCTAAATATATTATAAACTTGTTGTTACTGTGTTTGGCATATCGAATACGTCATGGGTAGTTTGCCAGATTTTGCCATGCAGACGAGATACTCTCAGTAGCTTGCCGGGCTCTCCGAGAGGGGCGGAGGAATTGAACCCAGCTCGGCCAGGCTGGCTGTGCACAAGGCAAACTCCCTAACTCCCTACCGATGTGCTATTATAAAATAACAAAATATTAATACTTATTAGTAAAAGGTCCCGCACAGCAAAACCTGGCAAGCTACCCATGATGTATTCAATATGCCAAACACAGTAACAACAAGTCTCAAAATGGAGACGTTACTGGGTCCGCTCAAGCAAATTGATGAACAACAGGAGGATAGTGCTACAGTAAAGGTAAAGGTAAGGTAAAGGTAAAGGCCCTCCCGTTGATCATCAATTTGCTCGAGCGGGCCCAGTAACATCTCCATTGGAGACTTTGTTGTTACTGTGTCTGGCATATCGAATACATCACGGGGAGAGTAGCTGGTTCAATTTCATTCTTTTGCATTTTATTCAAGCTTTGCCAATACCTTTTGTTGAAGAGACTTTCCTTTTTTAACCATTTTCTGTTCTTGACCCCTTTCTCATAAGTTATATATGTAAACCCATATATATGAGGGTTTATTTCTGAGCTTTTAATCCTAGATTCAAACTTTAATTTAATTTTCTACCTTATATTTTTTAAACACTCGAATTTTAGGAACCACAAATATGCATGAGAAATTCAACATACACTTCAAAAGGAATGATAGTTCCAACTTAGACCAGTATACAGTTATATCAGAACGTTTTCATTTAAAATTTTATTTACTCTAAACTACTTATGTGACTAGAACAGGTATTAAACAATCATTACACTCCAACTAGTTCTACTTAAATTTTCTAGAAAAAGAAAATATAATTAAGTACTTCGTGTTAAAGTTTTTTGAGCCCAACTTTTGAAAATCTAAGCACAATAAAGACATGCTGAGAATTGGCATTTAACTGCTGACAACATTAAGTCTAATCTTTAAAATCAACTACTTAGAAAAGGAAATCTCCCTTTAAGGCAGAGTACTGATCATTGGGAGTAGGAACATGCTCAAATTCATGCATGCTCGAATCTCCACTTTTTCTCCTACATGACATTTACAACTAAAATTGTTTATCACTTCACAGGTTCTAATTATAGAGCACACAGTAAGACATCTTGATTCAGTTTGCCTAGGCAAATGGTCAGTGAATTTTTCTTAAAGGGCCAGATTTTAGACTTGCAGGGCATGAAAACACTGTTGGAACTAATGCATTTTATTACTGTAGTACTAAGGCTGGAGCAATAGCACAGCGGTAGGGCATTTGCCTTGCAAGCAGCCAATGTGGCCGACCCGAGTTCGATTCCTCCGCCCCTCTCGGAGAGCCCGGCAAGCTACCGAGAGTATCTCGCCAGCACGGCAGAGCCTGGCAAGCTCCCCGTGACGTATTCCATATGCCAAACACAGTAACAACAAAGTCTCCAATGGAGACGTTACTGGGCCCGCTCGAGCAAATCGATGATCAATGGGAGGGCCTTTACTTTACTTTACTAAGGCTGCCATTTGGCTGCGTTTCAATAAAACTTTATTCACGAACTGGATGACCAGTTTGTGGGCCACATTTACTAAGTCCTGCTTTAGGCCAACAGTTTGATTACCAACAAACAATGCTTTTAATAAGCAAATCACGTCACCAGAAAGGCTAGATGCTGTTACCTGGGACAGGGACATGAAAATACTATCATGAAATAATTTTCTAACCTCAATATCTCAGGTAGACTAAAAAATATGTTAGTAAAGCATCCATTAAAATGAAAATTAAGGAGATACACAGGAAAAGTCTGACTGTATTTTATTAAACAATCTTACCTTAAGCAAATGAAGGAATCTAAACTCTAGCACATGTCTGATTTCAAATTCAAAATGTCTGACCAAAACTTCGGTTTCTTGTCAAACTCCTAGGAAACAAAATAAAACATCTTTTATTATTTACGTGTTTATTTATTATGGACTTTTCTGTTTGTTTGTTTTTAATTTTTATTAGTGAAACACCATGAGGTACAGTTGTAGACTTACAAATTTTTGTGCTTGGGTTTCAGTTATACAATGATCAAATACCCATCCCTCCACCAGTGCCCATTTTCCACCACCACGGGTCCCAGTATCCCTCCCACCCCCCATCCCTCCCATCCCACCCTGCCTCTGTGGCAGGGCATTCTCTTTTGTTCTCTCTCTCCTTTTGGGTGATGAAACAACTTTTAAGTCAGGTTCCCAGTTTTTGATCAAACATAATAATTACATCCCAACCTATCTTTGAGTAACCTGGCCACCAGACCACATGCAGTACATGAAACAGTATTTTAAAGACCCCAAAAGTAAACACTAATGAGTAGGTTGGGTAACAAAATCTGAAGTACCACACTAAAAAAGCATTTTGTTTTCACCAGGAATAAATTATTAATACACAAAGCAAATTACATGAATCTTACATATTATACTGAGTAAATGAATGGAACCATCTCAAATAGTTACTACTGTCAGATTCTACCTAAAGACAAAAACAAAAACAAAAAAGAGCAAAACTAAAATGGTAGAGTGGTGGTCGCCAGAGTTTACAGGTACTGGAGGAACGTTACAGCTACAAAAGTATAGCAGAATAGAATTTTATGAAATAACTGAACTGTCTAAATACACGAAGATCACTACCTAATATCTACATATATTAATATTCATCAATGCACATAATGTTACTAAATACACTTTTTAAAAATCCTGATATTTAAAAAAACTTATGTCACTAAAGTTTATCCAAGAACATTTACCTAAGATTTTATAGTATGTGAAAATCATTTTGCTTATTTGAGTACTTCAAGTTGGAGCAAATCTCGGAGCCACAGATACAGGTATAGTGGGTAAGGTCTTGCACGCAGTGGATCTGGAGTTCAATCACTGACACAACATGCTGGACTCCTAAACCCCACTAGGAGTAAACAACAAGCCAGGGGTAAGCTGAGCACCACCATGTGTGGCACCAAAACCAAAATAAATAAATAAAATAGAGTAAATGGTAACTTTTCAACTCAGTCCTGACAAGCAAAATCACTGTGGAATTAGCAACCTTGTTTCAGTTCCTCTGGCAGTTCATTACTTGCAAAAACCGTCTCACCTCTAATCATCACAATCCCATCTCATTGAATCCTGACATCAGCATAATGACATGGAAAAGAACTTTCATTTTTTTTCCCCAAAGAAAAATGATTAAAACAGAATTCTAAGGGGGGAAAGATGCAATTTATTCTGCTTCAACTGCAGAGAACATTCTGAAAAGTAAAAATGCAACATACTCATTTGTCTCTACCTTAATTAACGGGAAAACCACCCTACTTGAACAAGCAGAATGAGTTTAGTTAAGCAAAGATATAAATCAGAAAATGTTTCACAATTATCTTGTGTAAGACTTTGTTGATATTTGGCAAACTTCTAGTAATAGTACAGTAATACTAAAAGTGTCTATTAAGCTATACATATACATGACACAAAACAGTCAAATACATATACAGAAGTATACATTTTAGTAATTAAATTATATTAATTTTATAGTTAAAATTTTAAGTACAAAGAAAGGTACTACTTCTCTTTAACGTCTTTTTCAAATCTTTTCAATTCCCAAGTATTTTCAGATTTTATTTTTTAATCATTTAGCCAATCATGGGCTGGAGCGATAGCACAGCGGTAGGGCGTTTGCCTTACAAGCGGCCAACATGGCTGACCCAAGTTTGATTCCTCCACCCCTCTAGGAGAGCCCGGCAAGCTACCGAGAGTATCTCGCCTGCACGGCAGAGCCTGGCAAGCTACCCGTGACGTATTCGATATGCCAAACACAGTAACAAGTCTCATATGATGGAGACGTTACTGGGTCTGCTCGAGCAAATCGATGAACAACGGGAGGACCGTGACCCGTGACCCATTTAGCCAATCATATGTAATTAAGTGAAATTAAACTGGCGCCTGTGTTTGGTTTTTCCCTAAAGAAGAGCTAAAGGGCTTTCATCTTTTGGAGGAAATGAATGTACAACCACCGTGGGGGTCTTTTTGTTTTTTAAAGTGATAAAAATTCCTTTCTGGCGACCGAGCAAGAGTATAGTGAGGAAGATACTCAGCAGGTGCAATCCCTCGCACCACAGAGGGTCCCCGGAGCCCACCAGGGGTGACCCCTGAGCACATCAGGGGCAGCCCAACCGCAAACCCAGAAACCTCCGTTCTGGAGACAGCATTGCATTAAGTGCCTGCTGATGGAGTGCAGTAGGAGAGGCAGGAACCACATGTGCCTCCCCTGAATCCTCATCCAGGGGCTGAGGCGTGCGTGCCATGAGTCCCAAAACATGCAAGGTCATGAGCTCCTTCAACTGAATGAAAAATGCTTTTGTGTTGTTTTTATAAATGCCAGCAAAAACAACTTTGTCTTTAAATGAATTAAGTGGTTTTAAGATCGTGTCCCCTTTAGTAAAAATAGGTATGAAAAGATTTTTGTATCAGAGTATGTTAAGATAAAAAAAAAAACACTGTCCTCCTGTTGTTCAGCGATTTGCTCGAGTGGGCCCAGTAACGTTTCCATTGTGAGACTTCCTGTTACTGTGTTTGTCATATTGAATACTCTCAGTAGCTTGCCAGGCTCTTTGAGAGGGGAGGAGGAATTGAACCCGGCTTGGCCGGGCTGGCTGCGTGCAAGGCAAATGCCCTACCGCTGTGCTATCACTCCAGCCCATATGTTAAGATAAAATTTTGAAAATTACATTATATATTATATATATATAGCACTGTAGCACTGTCCTCCTGTTGTTCATCGATTTGCTTGAGCAGGCACCAGAAACGCCTCCATTGTGAGACTTGTTACTGTTTTTGGCATATTAACTATGCCACGGGGAGCTTTCTGCCGTGTGGGCGGGATACTCTCGGTAGTTTGCCAGGCTCTCCGAGAGGGATGGGGGAATTGAACCAGGGTCGGTCACGTGCAAAGCAAATGTCCTACCTGCTGTGATATCGCTCCAGCCCATTATATATATAATATGCCATTCAATATATGTGTGTGTGTGTGTGTGTGTGTGTGTGTGTATATATATATATATATACATATACATATGAGCCTGGCAAGCTACCGAGAGTATCCCGTCCACACAGCAGAGCCTGGTAAGCTACCCATGCTGTATCTGACATGCAAAAATCAGTAACAATAATAGGTCTCATTCTCCTGACCACGAAAGAGCCTCCAATACAGCAGTGTTGGGAAAGATGAGTAAGGAGAAGCTGCTAAAATCTCAGGGCTGGGACAAATGGAGACATTACTGGCACCCGCTCGAGTAAATAGATGAACAACGGGATGATAGTGATACAGTGATACTTATTTCTAAGGAATTATCATTGTACTACTAAATTTATCAACAATTTCACACTGTATAATTTATTTAAAAAACTCAGATTTTTTTTCTTTTTTATTATTTTTTATTGAATCACCATGAGATACAGTTACAAAGCTTTCATGTTTGAGATTCAGCCATACAATGATCAAACACCCATCCCTCCACCAGTGCAAATTTTCCACCACCAATTTCCCCATTATTCGCCCCTCCCCCCAATCCCAATCCTCAGCCTGCCTCTATGGCAGACAATTTCCCCAATTCTCTCTCTCTACTCTTGGGTATTATAAAAAACTCAGATTTTTAAAAAGACAATTTACACTGCAAACTGAAAACAAGAACCTCTATAAGGAGTAGTTCTGCCTGAAAAAACATTTTTTTGCCCTAATATTATATTCTATTCAATATAAAACTATTTGCTTCAATAATTTAGAGGTAGGCAGGACGTAGTGGCGAAGGGAAACTGGGGACATTGGTGGAGGGAAGTTGATATTGCTGAAGGGACTACTAGCGTTGGAACATTGTATGCCTGAAACTCAATCAAGAAATTCAATCACTCTGTGATTCTGTGATTCATGGTGATTCAATAAAAAAAAAATAAAATGTAATATATCTGGAACTGTATAGTCCCTGTAATAGTTCATTAAGGCAAGTTGAATTTTGCCATTCATTAAAACTGTACCTACTACAACTCTGCATGCTTACTGTTCCATGTCGTCTTCTCAATTTACTAAGCAAAATTCCCTTTAATAATCCAAATTTAAAAAACTAATAATTCAAATTTAATTTCTAAAGACATGAAACACTTGTCAAAAGCTCTTAGTAAGATGGGACCAGAGAGCTAGTACAGAAAGTTAGGCACCTGCCTTGCACTTGGCCAACCTGAGATTCAATCCCTAGCATCCCATATAGTCCCCCCCGAATCCTGCCAGGAGTTAATGGAAGTGTAATGCACAGGGTCAGGAGTAAGCTCCGAGTACCACCTGGTGCGGTACAAAAACAAAACAAAAAAAGAAATAAAAGAAAGTTTTTGGCAAGGCAAGTCAGTAAATTTCATCTGCCTCTCTTAAATCACTTAATCACTTAACTTCCTGTTAGTCATCGATTTGCTCGAGTGGGCGCCAGTAACGTCTCCATTTGTCCCTGTCGCGTGCTAGTGTAGCCCAATGGCATCTGTTCGCTCCGGGAACATGAAGAGCCTCAAAACTGATCGTTCATGATCTTCACGAAGAAGTCTGACCATCTGGTAGGTGGGCGGCCACGCGGTCTTTTGACATCCCGTGGAATCCAGTCGGTAACAGCTCTAGTCCAGCAGTCGTCTTTAAATCTCATTACGTGACCAGCCCATCTGATTTTTGACACCTTGGCAAATGAGACAGCGTCCCTGATCCTTGATCGTCGATGGATGTCAGAACTCCGGATTCTCTCTCTCATTTGAGTGAAACGTGATATTCCAAGCATAGCTCTTTCTATTCTTCTTTGGGTGACCTGAATAGCGTTCTCATCTTGTTTGTGTAGGGCCCAGGTCTCTGAGGCATATGTTA